CATGCTTTGGTGAAGCTTTATACCAAAGCCTGGGACCTGACAGCTTGACGTTATTCTTCTCATATGCCATTCGCAAATAATAGTAAAAAAGACTTGGTGCTAGTAAGAAACATCAGACATTTCCCCGCAATTTTTTCGGTGACTTCTGAGTTGACAGTTTCTCATCGCGTGACAAGTTTATCCCGCTACAGTAATGGCTACAGTAAAACTTAATTGTGTTATCATGTGCCATCTTCATTTCACAGTTTTAGCATTTGATACCTTTACTAAAGTTGAATAAGAAAGGTTTGTAAAAATAAAACATCTATGTCTATGATCACTCATATTTGGCATCAAAAATTAGCTCTGTTGGTCAGACGAAAAAGTAAGCAATGTTTTCAGACCGCCAATCGAAATGTGATAAGCAAAATTTGACCATGGTTCATTTAAAATGTGTAGTATTTTATTTGCGTTTTAGATGAAGACGAAAAGATGATCACTGATTCACGGGGAATCCTCGATGGGGGTTCAATGATGGAAGCGATTATGGAAGCGTTGTTCAAAACGGGCTTTTTATCGCGTATGTGCCGCGAAAGGGTGCTCATGAGTCGACTGATGAAGTATCGCCAAGGGCTGAAGAACGAATCGCTGGACGATCCTTCAACAAACAAGAAGGACTTCGATCCCATGATTGACGATGACGCTGAAGGTCGAATGGAGAGGATCGGATGCTCTGTTATTGAAAAAATTGAGTCCAACCCGAGCATATTCTCAAAGCTGATAAAAATGATGTCGCTTCGACCTGAGCGCGCGAAATATGCCAAAAGTAATAAGTATGGTCGCTACAACGCTAGTCAATATGCGACTCTGGAAGAAGGCAACCTCACCACAAAGTATGACAGGAGTGAAGCAGAATTATCGCACCCGACTGAAGCACGTCTCGAAGAGTGCTAAACGAGGAAGCGTTGAGTCTTCTTTAAAATTCCTTAAATTAGTTTTCTTACTGTTACTAAACCCATAAGTATTCATCCGTACGAATTTGGCTGGCGAAAGTCCTCGTTCTTTGCGCATCCATCGTCAATTTTTACTTTGTGCTGTTTTACATGTTTGTGTTTTCATGTTGTCCTACGTTTTCGAATTGCGTCAAAAAATAAAGTAACTGTTTTAATAGCTGACACACTCCAACAGCACCGAATGCAGTGCGCCAAAGATCAAACTCATTCCTTTCACTGATCGTTTGAATGACTCATCGAAGAAGCAGCATTAGCAGAAGTCCGCCTACTTGTTCGATTCTGCATAAATTAATTGGCTCGAGAGACTGGATTTCAAGACGAGACAGTACATGGTGTTCAATATATGAGAGCATTGTTGCGTGATCAGCCATTCCATCCCTACCTTAATATTTTGCCAGAAGTACTCCATCTTGAGAGAGTACTGCGACAACATTCAAATCAATCGCTTGAACTCTTTTGAACCATCACCGATCTCTTGATGGCACAGGAAGAGCTGCTCCCAACTTGATTGAATTTCCATGACTGTTTTTCCTTTCGGGTCTCAGAGGCAGACACGTCATACAGTGCTTCCAACGTTCCCGATCCTCTGCCAGAGTCTGAGCTTCGGTAAAAGACAAACGGAGTCTGGAACAGACTCCTTCCTTATATTTGCACCAGGTTAATTTTGGCAGTCCCCTGGGCCTTCTGCCGGCCGGATGGGCAAGTATTAACTGTTTCGTTTTCCATTCTAGATTCATTCACAACATGTGCCCAAACCATCATAGCTCTTACCTCTCCCTTTGTAAATGCAGCGGCTGCAAAACAAGGTTTTCAGATATCTCTACTCCTGACTTTGAGCTTAACGATTCGTCAATCAACTTAGCAAAGCCCATTTCAGTCGCTTGTATCCGGGATCAAAGTTGTTTAGTTATGGCTTCGACAAATAATCATAGATAATCATGGGAATGAAAATCGACTTGAATACAAAGAGCTTAGTCTTATTCATTCGTGCTTTAATTACAACGGATTGGGCTAGTTGCAGAATGCTACTAGCTACTCCAATTCGCCTGTCAATCTCTTCCTCAA